TTTTTTTTTTTCTTAAATGTTTTATTGTGAATTATGTGATAGTTTACATGGGAGAACATTAGTTTTACATTCATTCTATCGTATATTGTCTCATTGCCACGGTTACTTTCCCCTCCATGCAATCCTTCTCCCGTACCCCCCAGGTACACAGTCGCTCTCCCTCGCTGGATCTAAAGTCTCCAGCTGCTCCATCGCTCTGAGTCTCTTATTTCCCTTCTCAGTTTTCATTCTTACCTCTCAGAAGTTATTCTCCAAACTATAGAGAAAATGATACTTGAACAGTCTAAGTCAGATCATGCCATGCCTTCACTCAAAACCTACCATGGTGTCCATCATCCTTAGTAATATCTCAACTCTTCCTTAGCTCCCCAGTGCTGTATGGTTAGCCCTGCCTCTCTCCGGGGAGTTCTCCTACCATCACCCTCTCATTCACTCTGCCACAGAGCTCACTTCAGCCCCAGGGCCTTTGCACCTGCTGCCTTCTTGCCTCAGAAGGCATCTCCCTTAGGTTGCTCATTCAGATTGCTAGTTGATTCAAGATTACAGCCTCAACTGAAATGTCACTGTAAGCAAAATGTCATTGTACTGTCACACTATCCAAAATAGCACACTCTGACCCTTACCGTGCTTTGTTCCCCCACAGCACTTGTCACTAATGAAAACCATACCACACATTGGTTACCTTGTGAATACTTGTCTCTTCCACTGCAATATCAGGTGTATGAAGGCAAGGACTTGGTCAGTCTGATGCACAGCACACCCTTCACCTAGAACAATACCTGGTGGTGGTGATAGTGTGCCGTGGAATCGGTTCCAACCCATAGCGACCCTGTACAGGGTTTCCGAGGCTATAAATCTTTACTAGAGCAGAAAGCCTCATCGTTCTTCCACAGAACAGCTGGTAGTTTTGAACTGCTGACCTTCAGGTTCGCAGCCCAGTTCTTAACCACTAAGCTACCAGAGCTCCTAGAACAATACCTACCACTTAGTATTTACTACATAGCTGAGATATGAAGGGACTTCAAAAAGTTTCTGGAAAAAGTCCATTATCTTTTAAATCCATTTTCCCACAAAACTTTTTAAGAAGCCCCCTAATATAAATGAATATGATTAGACGACTGAACTAAAATTAATACAGCTGAAAGTGAAATAGAATACACGAACTTACTCATCGGAAATTTCAATGTTGAGCTTCTGTTTGGTTTGGCTGAGTGTTGTACGATAGAGCTTGGTGGCCATTTCAATCAGATGGTCACTGCTGAAGAGAAAATCTCCTTTACTAGCTGCCTCTGAGCCCTAAAAAGACAAACCAAGAGTCAGACTACCATGATTAAAGACAGCTTGTTGTTGTGGTTAAGTGCTGTTGAGTCAATTCCGACCCATAGCGACCCTGTACAGGGTTTCCGAGGCTGTAAATCTTTACGGGAGCAGAAAGCCTCATCTTTCTCCCGCAGAACAGTAGTTTCAAACTGCTGACCTTAAGGTTCACAGCCCGATTCATAACCACTATGCTACCAGAGTTCCTAAAGACAGCTTGTTGTTGTTGTTGTTAAGTGCCGTCGAGTCGGTTCCGACCCATAGCGACCCTGTACAGGGTTTCTGAGGGTGTAAATCCTTACGGGAGTAGAAAGCCTCATCTTTCTCCCGCGGAGCGGCTGGTAGTTTCGAACCGCTGACCTTAAGGTTCACAGCCCGATTCGTAACCACTACGCTTAGGAGGTAAATATTTGCAGTTTACACTGAAAATGTATTTACAGTCTCTTTAAAACACTGGACAGTGGAACCCATTCTCCCAAATTAAACAAAGACAACAAAAGAAATATTTCTTCCGACTTGCTCAGAGCACTTCAGTAAGGTCACCCCTTGCTGTTGCACTAGCACCAGCACCAGCATCACCTGGGGGCTTGTTAGAAGAGCAGAATCTCAGGTCTTACCACGTCCACTGAATATGGATCCACACAACAAGACTCCTGGGTGATTTGCTTGAACATTCAAGTTCAAGAAACACTGACCTAACCCAGAACTCATTCTGAAACAGCTGTTTTAAAAATTCCTCAGTGATATGGTTTGTTTGCTTGTTTTTAATATAATGGTAGCACCACTTCTGATGAAAATCCTAGGCCCTCAGTAAGTCTCAACCTGACTGTACATGGAAAACATCAGGTGAGCTTTAAAAAAATAGGATTCTTGCATCCCATTTGGAGAAATTCTGATTTAATTTTTCTAGAGTATGGCTTAGGCATTAACCAATTAAAAAACTTTCCAAGCTATCGTAATATGTAATTATGGCTGAGAAATACCGTCCTAAGGTCTGACATGGTCCCTTGAACTTATGACCCACGTGGGGAAAGCAGGTCAAGCTAACTTTATTAAGTTTATTAAGTTTATTGTTGTTGATGGTATTAGGTGCTGTTGAGTCAGTTTCAACTCATAACAAGCCTGACTGGTTTTGTGCCAACTTCACCACTACTGTTATATCTGAACCCATTGTCGCTACCACAGTGTCAATCCGTGTCGCTGGGGGTCTTCCTCTTTTTTCCTGACTCTGCATTCTTCCAAGCATGAGATCTTTCTCCAGGGACTGATCCCACCTAACAACGAGAAAGTGTTGCCATCCTCACTTCTAACGAGCATCTGACTGTACTTCTTCCAAGACAGATTTGTTTGCTCTTCTGGCAGCTCATGGTACTTTTGATACTCTTCTCCAACACCATAATTCAAATGTATCAATTCTTCTACAATCTTCCTTATACACTGTCCAACTTTCGCATACATACAAGGCAGCTGAAAATAGCCTGGCTAGGTCAGGCACACTTCGGTCCTCAAAGTGACATCTAAGTTTAGAATCAGCTAAAATGCAACTATCTTCTATGTACATGCACCCAAATGTGATTAGGATTATCACTGGACTGCTAACCACAAGGTTAGCAGTTCAAATCTACCAGTCGCTCCTTGGAAACCCTATACAGGGTGACTATGACTCAGAACTGACTTGACAGGCACTGTGCTAAGCACTTTACATACAGAGCATCATTCAATCCTCATAAAAGTTGTGGTTATGTGTCATGAAGTTGTTTCATGGAGTTTGTTCCAACTCATAGCAACTCTGTATAGGGTTTCCGAGGTTGTAAATCTTTACGGGAGCAGAAAGCCTCATCTTACTCCCGTGAAACAGCTGGTAGTTTCGAACTTCTGACCTTGCGGTTCGCAGCCCGATTCATAACCACTATGTTACCAAATACTGTTATTATCTCCATTTTAAAGATAAGGACACTTAGGTAGGCACACAAAAGTGAAATGACCTAGCCAATGTCACAAAGTTGTAAGAAGGACTCCAATGTTACCATTCCATTCAAGTCAGATGGCCCTAGATATAAGCTAACAGCACAGAAATTCAAAAATCTCTAGGTCAAAACTATTAGGCAGGTTTGGCCCTGTGGGTTAACGTGCTGGACTGCAAAGTTGGTTTGAACTGCAAGCTCAGTGGTAGCCACTCCTTAGAAACCCTATGCAGAGTTGTTATGGGTTGGAATCAACTTAACGGTACTTAACAAGAATAAGTTTATTTTAGTTGAATTCTTTAACAATAAAAAAATCCAAATTAAAGATGAGCAGACATCTGTTAAGTGGTACACTGAAGAAACACAGAAGGAATAATAATTCAGAACATTTTTATATTTCTATGTATTTGTCTCAAAGAGTGCCCATGGTCCACTATGGTTGTTGTTGTCAGGTGCCATCGAGTTGGTATCAGCTCATAGCGACCTGTTGCACATCAGAACGAAACACTGCCCCCGATCCTGGGCCAAGCCAACCTCACTACTGTTGCCACGCTTGAGTCCATCGATACTGCCACTTGGCCAGTCCATCTTGTTGGGGGTCTTCCTCTTTTTCTCTGACTCTCCACCTTACCAAACTTGATATCCTTCTCCAGCGACTGCTCCCTCCTGACAGTATGTATGTCTGAAGTATGAGAGATGAAGTTTGGCCAACTTAGCCTCCAAGGAGCACTCTGGATGCACTTCTTCCAAAATGGATCTACTGGTTCTTTTGGTAGCCCGTGGCACTTTCAATATTCTCCTCCAACACCATAACTCAAAAGCGTCAATTCTTCTATGGTCTTCCTTATTCACTGTCCAGCGTTCGCATCCATATGAGGTTATTGAAAATACCATGGCTTAGGTCAGGCGTACCTTAGTCCTCAAGCTGACTTCTTTGCTTTTCAACACTTTAAAAAGGTCTTGTGCAGCAGATTTGCCTAATGCAATACGTCGTCTGATTTCTTGACTGTTGCTTCCGTGAGTGTTGATAATTGATCCAAGAAGAATGAAGTCCTTGACAACTTCAATCTTTTCTCCATTGATAAGAATGTTGTTTATTGGTCCAGTGGTGAGGATTTTTATTTTCTTTACATTGAGATGTAATCCATACCGAAGGCTACTATGGTAGGTGCAAACAAAAACTACTCAGTTAAAGACAAATCTTGGGTGTGAAAGTAAATAGTCAACTAACCTTCTTCAATTATTGAAAAATCAAGCCTGAGATTTGACGTAAGAGTGAACATAACCAATATTTGTAAATTAGCAAGGAGGATACATAAACTTCAGGTAACAGGATAGTCAGATGTGGAAATTTTTCTATCAATGCCTGAGAGAGAGACTGGACAAATACAGAAATCTTTCCAACAGTCAAGTCAATAGTTGACTCTTTACCTCTTTGAGGTGGACAGCAAAGAAGCCATCATTTTGTGAACTCATGGATACCTTGGTCACATCTCCTAGAGGAACCTCTGACTTGATCTGTCCAGACTTTTGATCAGCAAGGAGAAGATTATTGTTTGTTAAGAGGAAAATCCGGGAGGTACTCTAAAACAAAACCAAAAAGGTGTAAAGCCAGCTATTAAAAATACCCTAAAGTGCCCCTGAATTTAAAGTATTACTTCTATGCAAAAATGTGCATTTTATTCCAATTGTTCAACATGCATAACTATGTAAACTGAGCACTCACTAAAGAACACACACAACACATATTGATTTACAAAGATGTTAGAGAACAAAATTCTGCTTATGAGTGAAGGTAAGGGAAATAGCCCTCTTCGCAGCAGATTTGCTGAGAAACTGAAATGCAAATTTTAACTCTCCAAAGACAAAGAAAGACACTGTCCCAAATGATAAACGCTTCATATCAGCCTTCAGAGTCAGCATTTACCTTCCCATTAGCACGGTTAATTTTGTTCACAACTTCAGCAATGATTATCTTTTCTTCAATGGCATCTTTGAGTTTCTTATACTTGGGGTTCTTATTGATTTCCAGGTAAGCCCCTTGGAATGGCTGCCCAACACTAAAGGAAAAAAATTCTTCACATTAGAAATGGTTTCAAATGAAGACACTACTGGGAAAATATGTCAGTCAGTTTCACACAGATTTAATTTATCTTGTGTATTTTATACATTACATTTGTATAAATGTCCTAAATATAAGTTAGAAAGTGAACCATTAAAAAATGATTTAAAATATTTTTGATGTGATCATGACATTAGGTTTAACGTATATAAAAATATTATCACATAAAATAATCAGAACAGAAAATCATTTACAAGAAACATAGTTAAGACTCAAATGCACATCATGTATAGGAAATGCTACTCCCTTGTGTTCTGTTGGAGTCACTGGATGGCACAATGGGTTAACATGCTCAGCTGCTAACTGAAAGGCTGGTAGATCGAGTCCAACCAGATCTGCCTCAGAAGAAAGACCTGGCAATCCATTTATGTAAAACCAGCCACTGAGAGCCTATGGAGCACAGCTCTACTCTGACACACATGGGTTTACTCTGAGTCAGAATTGTTCTGATGGCATCTGATTTGCTCCTTGGTTTTTCTAATCTGTTAACATAAGGTTAACAACTGCCCACAAAGCACTAGACTGCTAACCTCACGGTCATCAGTTCAAACCCACTAGCCACTCCTCAGATATGACACAGGGTCATTAAGAGTAGGAACCAACTAGACGGCATGTAACAACAACATACACAATGTGTGGCAATGGGAGAATGAACATGAATAATTATCATCACTAGCTTAAAAAAAAATCGTATTTTCTTGCAGAGAGCAAGGAAATCGACAGGCATTCTGGGCAAGACTGAATTTAGAGCCACCACTTTAGAAGAAAACTACAGAACACTGAATATTACCTGTTAACTAAGGATCTAAATAAGCAATATATAAAAAAAGACTAAGCCTGTCCTCCTAAACTATGCCCCCATATGGACTGAAGTAGCCGGAGCAATTGTTCAGAATCAGGCCAGTTTTCTTTCAATATCATTTTTGCAAGCAGTGTCATCTAGCGTGTATCATTAAGTTGTCAATTTCCTGGAAGATCTGGGGGGTGACCCTCTAAAAACGAGCTTCTTCAAAGGCACCAAGAAGAAAGGATTGATTGAAGGATACTAAGTGCTTCACTCTGATCTACAAAGTTCTGGTGAATTGAAAATACAACTTTAAATGCTTGGGTTGTAGGTGGAAGATTAGGGAAGAAAAATCCACGTAGGTGGCCAGTGTTTCACAGCTCCCAGGATATGAAAGGTTGGCTCCCACAGGAGCACCACCATGGCACAAAGTGGGGGGAGGGCAAGATCACTCCACCTGCTACCACTCCTAAAAACGAACAGAATTACCCCAAATGACTTGGCTCGATGTTCACGTCTTAGTTCTTGTTGTTCATATTTAAATGTGTTTTAATAATAAAAAGTGCTGAGGGCCTTTTAATGGGTTCCTCCAAAATATCTTTTCCTCCTTTCCATTTCTGAAGTCAGATTATCTACAGCAAATGTTTGTTAAATCCATTCTCTAATTTTAAAATGTATAAAGACAAAGTTGAATAAAGCTGGTTGCTAAAGAAAGCACATAGACATTCTCACTGCATGAATATGCTTCATAGAGCACTGTGGATACTTTGGATTTGTTACTATGATTGAATACAGGGAGTGTGTGCTCCCTGAAGCAGACAAACCCAGCTAACCAAGGAATTTTAAATATGTACACCAATCAACCCTGACAACTTATGTTCATACAATCTTTTAAATGAGCTTCCAACTGTGTATAAGATGCAGAGAATATAAATGTAACAGGTAACATATGAGATGGCTTCTAAAAGTTCATGGAAAATGGAGTTAAAAGATAATAGGAATTTCTCCACGAACTTTTGAGGCGCCCCCCCCCCGTATGTGAATGCACAGCACATAATGCATATTTTGATTTCTAGTCCATTCTGTTATACATCTGTTTTGAAATTGGACAGTGTTTTATAAACACTAGATGAAAAATGGCTAAGAATTCTGGAAAAAATGATGACTTTAGAAGATGTAAGAACAATCATATATGTGGTCTCTACCAAGGACTTCACTTAGCAAACTTGCAACGGGTATTCTTCTTTTTCTAAGTACACGATGTCTAAAATGAAGGAGCTGAACTTGCCGCACTGGTCTTGGAGGCATGCCTGATGAGCTGGGAGGCCAAAGGGCCACAGAGGAGTACTTAAGCAACCATCAAAAAGTGATCAATGGGCTCACACTTTTCACAGATCTTACATCTGAGCTTCTGACGAACATCAATATGGCTGTAGAAGCCACTGCTGAAGGGCATATTTATATTCAGCTGATTATAAAATAATTCACAAAATTAAAAATCATTTGTATAGTTCTGATATTAAACCCTATTAAAAATACCTATAGTTATACCTTAGAAACAGTCAAAAATGCTTATGGATAAAGTAAAGCCATAATACCTAGATGGGTATAAAGCCTTCTTGTCTTTAAAAAGTTCACTGGCTTCTAGTTTCTCTTCGTAAATAAGTTTCTGTTGGTCTGTGAACTGGTCCCTGTATTTTTTACACTGTAAAATAGAAGGAACAAACAAACATAACTTACCTAAATGAATCACTACTCATTCTTAAGTATGCTAAATCAGATTAACAGCAGCAAGCATAAGAGTAAATATGTACACAGCATTCATTTACAAGATCCAAACAGGATTGTGAAATATTTTTCCTTTTGTGGGTTTTAAAAAGTTGGTCTTGGAAAACGTCATAAAGGCTATTATTTGTATTGCAGAAGTTAGCACAATTCTTCAAAACATACAAGGGCCTCGCTGGCATGGTTCCTACTAGGAGTGTGGCTTCCTCTTGCCTACAATGTCACTTCTTGAGGAGACCCTTCAGCCCTGGGGCTGTCACACTCTTTTGCAATGACTCACTATAGGAAACCCATTGTACATCACAACCCAGTGCAGACAGTTACACACACATACACAGACAGTGGACACAAAAGCTTTATAAAACAACACTTACCCCTTCTATATGTAGTACATGCTGCTATTTTCTATTCCAGTGTAGTCAATTAAACAATGCTGGAAGTGATCTACTAAATTGATTTCATGACTCACAACTGGGTTATGACCTGTGTGATAGTTGAGATTCTGTGCCAAGATTCCCAGTGCTTTGGAAGTTGATAGTTAACTCTATGATGACTGGCTACGAGCAACCAATCAATTGAAAGGATGTTTTCTTGGAGGTGTGGCTTGCTCCATATATAATAGACACACAGGAAAGACTTGCTCTTTCTCACTGAATCTGGACTTGGGATTCTCCACCTCTAGGACTGTGAACCATTTCCTTAATATAAACTTCTCTTTATATGTAGGGAGAGTCCTGGTGTGGCGCCGTGGGTTAATGCACTGGACTGCAAGGTTGGTTGCAACTGTAAGGTTGGCAGTTCAAGCTCACTAGTCACTCCTCAGAAACCCTAACCAGGGTCGCTACTAGTTGGAACCAACTCAAAGACACTTAACAACTATATATATACATATATAACTCTATCTATCTATCCGTTATCTATCTATCTATCTATCTATCTATCTATCTATCTATCTATCTATCTTTCACTAGTTTTGCTTCTCTAGAAAACACACCCTAAGACAAACAGTTTGAAAAACACTGCTCCAAATCCCCTCAACTCCATCCCCACTTTAACATTGTGAACAGAAGGCCTGACAAATGCCCACTCACCCAATTCTGAGTCTGTTTTGAAAGGAGCTAGAGAAAGGTTGGCTGGGCAGGGTCAGGATTGTTAGATGAGCTCTCTAAAAAAATCGGTTAGAGGCATGTTTGAGGACCATTGAAATCATTTATAAAGAAATGTTATCAGTGTTGCCCACTTTTCCAAGGGAAGAATTCTTACAGGAATAAATAGCCCTATGATTCCACCCTTGATCCTGGGAGGTAAGGGTAAGATTCCTCAGGAGCCAGGAGAAAGCAGAAGCAGAGCAGACCCCTGTCATCCGCACCTCCCGTTGTTGTTCCTGAGTTTCTATGCCCGAAGCCAAAGGGGAGGCAACCAGGTGAGAGGCTGGTGAACTCCCCCAAGTGAACTCACTGAAAACTTAGGGAACAGAATTCAAACCTAGTTCCACACATTACGCTGGTACCATTTATTACATTAATTAGAGGTAATGTCACTCTCTCTCTATGTGATTCGGATACACAAGGAACATGCCTACACTACTGGGTGGAAGAGCTTTCTGGAAAATCTAACATTATCTTTCATTTACCAAACACAACAAAAAGCAAAGAAACAAAAAACTCACTGCCATAAAGTTAATTCCAAACCACAGCAACCTTATCTAGGGTTTCCGAGACTATAAACCTTTAAGGGAACAGACAAGCCTCATCTTTCTTTACCAGAGCAGCTGGTGGGTTTGAACACTGACCTTGGGGTTAACAGCCCAATGCCTAACCCACAGTGATACCAGTGCTCCTTTAACTATTCACAAGCCCTTCAACTCAATGATTTTATTACATCTAGCACTTAGCATTATATCTATCAACTGAACTAAGTGATTACAGTAAAATCAACATCTATACAAGTGTCCCGTATGTCCCATGCTGGGCAACACCTAAATCACATGCTGCAGTCTCATACAGACTATGTGAACCACAAAACAAAAAACTAACAACTACAAAATAGAGTTTCAGTTTCCCTCTACTTAGGTGGTGCCCTTTTAGTGTGTTTTGGGGACTTCAAAGTTTTTTTTACAGCCTATCAAAGTGTATTTGCTCATCTGTATGTTTGTGCATCCAATAAATTTTATAAAGTCAACTCATACAATCTGCAGTCTAAAGGTTTCTAAAGATGTTCAGATGTTATGATATATATCTCCTGCAGTATTCCTGAGGTAAAAAGAATAGATAAATGAAAAACTAAGCTACTTGAAAGCAACTGGAACCTGAAAGTGGAAGACCATCCAATTGTGCACTTCCCTTCCACTCACTGTAAGAGTAGACCACCATGAGGAACACCTCAGCTGTTGCAGGGTTCCTCACCAAAAGCCAGGGGCAGTGCATGACTCCAAAATACCAAAGTCCTCGAGTAATTCTCTTCGAGGCCAGAGAAAGAATATGTTAAAAACGTGCTTTTTACATAACATTCCTCAAACCCTAAATAGAAGATAGCACATCTCTGAAAAAATAACAGCAAGTCAGTTTTTACCCTCCACAAGTGGAAAATCCTTTTTAGCTCTTTGTGAGTAGAATCTAAGAATAGGTAAGGTCTTGATGGCCAGTTCTTGTCTATTGGAGATAAGGAAGGCATCTTATTTTTCATTTCCAAGAAGTATTTTTGCACCTGGGTTGAGATGGAAAAAAAAAAACAAAAAACTACATTAGTAAAATAAAGCAGAAAACATACTATGTTAGATAAACTGTAATCAGCAAATTCGTCTCTACTGGAATTTAGAAAGTTTTCTAGTCCACAGCACATTGTAACTTCCCGGAGGGAGTTTTGGTTGCACTTTTTCTATTAACCCCAGTGGTTGAGAATACAAGAAAATAATTACTGATACTAACACTAACTCCAGTTAGCACTACAGAGCTGTGTTCAAACAGGAAGCCACTGGTCAGTCACAAGTGGCTACTGAAATTTAAGTTGAGGAATTTAAATGAACTAAGTTCCATAGTCACATTAGTCACATATCAAACCTTGACAGGCACCTGTGTCTAGTGGCTCCTACGTTGCAATACAGAAACAACATATCATCACCTCAGGAAGTCCGACTGGACAACACTACTCTATTTAATATATGTTCTAAGAGCACAATTCCATTGTAATCCTCACAACACTATGAGCTTCATGCTAATATTATCCCCATTTTACACAGATGATGACGTGACGCTCACAGAAATTAGGTAACTTGTTCAAGGTCCCGGATCTAATCAGCAGCAGACCAGACTTCAGAATTTACACTCCTGACCACCACATGTAATCCTTTAAAAGAAAGGGGATTCCAGAATCCAAGCTGCTGGTGTTGCGCGGCCCTCATCCTTTACCCCTCCAGCCACTAAGCTGGTGCTGACCTTACCCTGTCACAGCTCAATGGCAGTTTAGCAGAGCTTTCTTGTGCTCACTTTCTCCAAAATATGTTCTGTCAATAAGATGAATATTAAATATTTTAGACATAGTTCTACCTGAATTCTTGGGAAGGTCATTAGAAAACAAAAAGGTTACAATCTCTCAGTACCATAGCTGCTGTAATCATTCCCAAAGAGAAGTCACATCTTACTGAGTTTGGGGGTTCTTACAATGCCAGTCAGACATACATATCAAATGTAATCAGGAACTTACAATTCTCTGCAGTGTGAACTCATAAATTTTCTTTCCAGCATTGGCTCTGAAGAATTTTCTGTACTCCCTACGTACCTTAAATAAGAAACAGATGACTGTGGTTAGTTAATGGTGGTTAGCAGTTGTCCACGAAGAGGACACTCCTTGAGTAAGGATGAAACTATGTGGAACGAGTAAGTTTCTAACATTCATTCTGATGTAATAAAATAGTTGGAAGAGATTTAGACAGTGGATTTTAAATCAGAGAAAAAGAAATGAAGACAAAAAAAAAAAAAAGATGACATAGCAAATGGTAATATCAGTATTTTTTGTTGTTTTATATCAACTTACAAAATTTTAAATTTTAGTATTTGACAAACATTTTACAGGCATAGCTGCAAACTCTTCACAAATTATACCTCAAGAGACATTATATAATAAGGTAATTTCTGCTTCAATAATTTTTAAAAGGCATAAGGTGTCGAAAAATGTTACTACATTTTCCAACAGCCTTGCATATGAAGATAGGATTTTAGCACTGTATAATGAGAAATGAATGTGTTTAAAAATAAGCATTTAGCTTTTAAACTATTATTGTCTCCCACTTAATTGCAATAATTTTTCTCTCAACTTCCTACAAACTTTATGCTCAATGGTATCATAGTTCATAAAACAGCATATTACAGTTGTAGTTTACAGGAGGGGGCTTTAAAGAATTCCATTGTCTTTTAATTCCATTTTTCCACGTGCTTTTTAAAGTTCCCTGGTATTTCTTCCTTGCTTAACTGTCATATTTATTTCACATGCTTGCTGTGACTGTTAAGTGTCATCGAGTTGGTTCTGACTTACAGTGACCCAGTACAGGGTTTCTGCGGCTTTAAGTCTTTGTCAGAGCAGAAAGCCTCATCTTTCTCCTGTAGAGTGGCTGGTAGACTTGAACCACAGACCTTGCATTTTAAAATCCTGTGCTTATCTTATGGAGCCACTGTGTTCCCATTTCATATGCTAATGCATAACAAACAACGGGAACTAAATGAAGTGTTTGCTTGGTGAATGAATGAATGAACTAACTGAACAAATGAATGCTATACTGAAATTTGAAACTGAGGGGAAATATTTAAAACATCTAATATTAACCAGATATAAATATAATGTTTGCATTCAGTAAAACATTAGTCTGTTTGCATAATTCAAACATAATGCACCTTCCTCTTTTATCTCCAGTTTTCTCGGTTTAACTGCACATGTTCAAAATATTTCTACAACAGGGATTTTAAACTAGCAAGTTCAGTTTGTAGATAAATGTTTATTGTTGTTGTTTAGTGCCAACAAGTCGGCTGTAACTCAGAGGATTTCTGAGGAGTGGCTGGTGGATTCCAACTACTGACCTTGCAGTTAGCAGTCCAGTGCTTATCCTGCAGTATCACAACAGGACTCCAAATGTTTACTATATGTGTATTTTTTTTTTAAAATTAAGAACTTCATATAAGAATTCAGATTGTAAATTTCTCTTAAATTTTTGTTTGTTCTTCTGCCAATCCTAGGTATAGTCAATATTTTTCACCAACACCAAAATTCAAACGCATCAAGATTTCAAAATGTATGCTGCAAACCAGATAGAAGGCATATAGGAAAACAGTTTCTAATTGGCTTTCATTTACATAATGTCTCTACTAAAATTATAATAAAATGGGTGCCCCTTGTGAGGACCAGGAATTCTAAAAGGGTCTATTCAATTTTGTAATCATTCCACACAAAAAATCAAATCATTGTGAAGGGTAAAGCAATAGCTCATTTCAACATAATTCTTCTTTTGGAAGAAAATACAAAATGACTACATTTTTGAACTCCAACAGAGTTTAAATCCAGCTAACTTCCGCTAAAACAACATTCATCTACAAACTGAATTTGTTTTGTAGGATGCTAGTACACTTAATGTGGAAATCATATGCAGTTAAACCCAGAAAATGAACATAAGCATAATGCTACTGGCAGAAATAGAGAGTAAATGTCTTGGCTTCATTTGTTCTTCCTTCTCTTGTATGAAAATTAGAATGCAAATTAGAAAACGTAAATAAGTGGGAAAACAATTAAATTTTTTTTTTATGCTTTAAAAAATACAGTAAGGATGAATAGTGTTAAAAAGGTAGTTAATTAAACATCACCCCCCGAAAGGAAATATGGATGGGTACCCATCAGGATTAGCTACTGAACATTGTCAGTGTTGTCAAGTACCTTTGATTTGGTTCCAACCCATAGAAACACTAGATAGAGTTTCCAAGGAGCAGTTGGTGGGTTTGCACCACTGACCTTGTGGTTAGCAGTCCAGTGCTTATCTTACTGTATCACACCAGGATGAAAATTCTTATATTTCCTGAAAGTCATTCTGAATATTTTCCAGGGCTCAGAAGTCATATTTACTTAAATCTAACAACGACAACAACAACTTTATTCTAAAATAGTATCCAACAATTTGAAACAAATGCTCCTAAGTTACAAGGCATTTATTTGAGTTGAAAGTTCTCTTTAACCTGAATGATCCATTTATTATTGACTGCAGTCTTGTTCATAAAAATTTGTAAATTTATTGATGCAAAATGCTGTGGTTTCTGTGTGAAACAATTAGAATGATGATTGTTTCAAGGAAAGCTCGACTCCCAGCAGCCATCACTGCGCAGAATAGGCATATGAAGAGAAATAAAAGCTCAGCTGGTCACTGTGGATGGTGGGTATAATAAATCCGTCTCAGGAGTTAAAAACAAACTTTATACACACAAAGGTAATATAAAACACCTGGGAAAAAATAAACTGATTATTTAAAGAAATGAACCTCAATCAAATTAGAACGTATTCGTGAACAAGGTTTACTCTCAAAAAGAAACAAAAATTAGGCAAGATAACATTCTAAAAGACTGTGCAGACAACGAGCAAGCATAATCAATAGTTTTCTTAGTGTTAGTAGGTGCTAGGCTTTACTGAGTTCACCGTGGACAGAAAGAAGTGATTGAGGAAGTACCTTCAGTCCAAGCCAGTAAGCCCAAATGACAGCAACTGCATGCTTACGCCTAGCCTCCTCCTTCAAGCGTTTCAATTCCCTTCGAGCCTAGAATGTTTTAGATAGTAAATAAAAGAGACAGCCCAATGCAGATAGCACAAATGACCAGAAAAAGACACCCCACCAAACAGAGAAGCCAATTTATGAATAAGCATTTCAGAGTGATAGAAGAACAGTGCATCATAATCCTTTAAACCCAAGGAATCAAGCAGGGCCAGATTGGTGCTGTAGATTTTCAGTAGAATGATATTCTATTCATTCTACTGAGGAGAGCAATTTGTGTGAACCGGAGGAACTCAGCCCTCTTCCTTTTTTTTTTTTTTTTTTTGCAATTTGTGTGAACCGGAGGAACTCAGCCCTCTTCCTTTTTTTTTTTTTTTTTTAGTCTCTCCTGGTCTATCTTCCTCTTTGTTTCCTTCCCCACACCTCTTACTCTTAACTTCCTTGTCGCAAGTTAGAACTGAGGCTGGTACCTAATGACCATGAAAGGCAGATGACTTCCCAACATGGCCAATGAATAGAGCTAAATAGACTGTGGATCCGTGTTCCAAACCAAATAAAATCCACTGTCACTGAGTAATGTGCAACTGTTAGGGGCCCTATAGTATGGAATATAACGGCCTACAGAGTTTCCAAGGCTGGAACTCGTTATGGAAGCAGACTGCCACATCTTTCTCCCAAAAAGCCTTTGGGCTAGAAGCCAAGCACTTAACCACTGTACCACCAGGACTGTGGATCCCTATTAGCATTCATGAATTTGGAAGTATGAAAATACTGGTGAATAACCACTTTTAAAAATTGGGAGGAACAAGGGATATTTCTTTGCAGTTCAGAAAAACACTCAAATGCAACATTCTATCCTGATTTTAAAATAAATAAATAAAATACACACACACACACACACACACACATATAAATTCAATTATTAACTGAGGCCTCAAATAGTGAGATATTCTGAAGATTGAAACAAAAAGTGAAACTATTTACAGGTTTAAAAATAAACCTTTTATATGCCATTTTAAAAGGGCAGAGAGAGACTGGCTTTGATTTCTCATTATGTTATAGTACAGAGACTGGGAAATGAGCTAAGTCAATGTAGAAATCCCAGCACCAAACTATTAAAAGTTTTCTTTAGTTTCTGATCCATTTATTTTCCTTTTGTTACTTAAGTAGCTACCTTGATCTTTACAGATTTTCAGGAAAAACACAAATGAGCAACTGTAGTCACTTTTTGGTAAATTAAACTCTTTACACAGGCAAATGTCGGCTTTTCTCATTATTCTCAGATGATAGGCTTAAAATGTTCACAAGCTAGGCTTAGAAACATAGGACTACTAAACAAACATACAAAACAACATAGGGTTATATTGATATTTGGCTTTCTAACTGGAATATACATTTTTAGCAGAGATGACCTTTGATTTTTTTAAAGTAACAAAAACATCTAAAATCCGGCTCCCTGGGATATGAGTAATGTTGTTCACTGAGCCCAGGACTCTGCCTGGGGATTACTGAGTATTTCAGGAGGCCTTTGTTTCTTCGGAACAAACAGCTGATGCTGAGATTCCTGGAATTCTTCACTGGCAATCATAGCTAGCTTTGCATGAACACAGTTTTCTGTTAAATTACAGAAGGTAATTCTTTTGTGATATTTCACTTACAATAATCAATAGTTGCTATAGTGTGGGGAAAAAAAAATCTAAAAACTATTTCATTCACAGATTAATTTTTTAAGACATGCAATAATGGCATTTCTAATGTCAATAGATTGCAGACAATCGACGTAAGCTCAAACTTTAGCATTGCCAATATGCACCCTGTCCCAACAATCTCTATAGAAAACCACTAACATACAGCAAGAAAAAATACTCTACACATGCACATAACTTGAGAGTTAAAATAAAAACAAAAACAGAAGCAACTTTACTACGGCTTTATTAGTAAGTGATTAGTCATTCGCCTACACATGCTTAAGCTTCCTATATACACTACTGACACTAACATCTTTAGGTTTATGAGATCTTAAATCTGGCTGCTAGGACATGCATCAGTGTGCACCACTGTTAATTGTAGCCATTAACCCACCACTAAGCTAGAATTCCAGGATAGAGCAGTGGAACGTGTGCATCAAGTACCTTTGATCCAAGCCAGTAAGCCCAAATAACTGCAATAGCATGTTTATTCCTAGCCTCCTCCTTCAGCCGTCTCAGTTCCCTTCGCGCCTGTGAGGCATGTGAAAAGGAGTTATAGAAAAGTTTAAGGCAGGAAAGGTTACTGCTGGTTCCCAACGGAGAGAGAAAAAGAAAGATAACCGTCACCACCAAATAGCAAACGCAAAAGCGTGTACCACCGCCGCCACCCCACACCACACTGTCGGAAAGCGTGAGAGGCAATGCGTGCTCAGTAGCTGAAGCCAGTGAGACATTTTCTGCCCCTAACCTAGAGGGTCCTCAGTAGGGTGTCCTACCTGGGTACCATGCCAATAAGCTGCAATGGTTGTGGCTGCTTCCTTACAGCGCTTTTGATGTTTCAGTTCCCGCAGGATCTTCCGAGCCTAAGCAGAATCACCCAAAGAGAAAGGTTAAAGGAAGAAAAAAAAAAAAAAAATGGCAAAAAAAAACTTTAAAAAATACCCAATGAAATGATAATTATCACACGTGTTCTCATACAAAAGAACAATAGCTTAAAGAAAGAATGGGAAGTTTCTTAGCCTAAAACTGACTATGAGAAGATGGTAGACAATGATGTCATCAGGCACAGTAATGGGGCCCCTGGGTCAGACTGGCCAGTGCTCTCCCAGGCCACCTGCCACCATCAGAGGGGAGAGAACAGATTTTACAGAGGGACCCCCAGGGATCCTGCTCAAAGTCATTTCTGTCTCTTTTATTGCTATGGTCTGGAATATAACTGTTACTGTTGTTATTAAGTGCTGTGTAGTCGGTTCTCACGCATAGCCACCCTGTATAGGGTTTCTGAGGCTGTAAAATCGTTAAGCAGAAAGCCTCATTTTTCTCCCAAGGTGGGCTCAAACCACCGACCTTGTGGCTTACAGTTCAGTGCTTATTCTGCAGAGCCACTGTGATCTCAAAATATAAATGTAGCTGTACTTTTTATGGATCTCTGGTGGTTCAATGATGAAGAGGTTGGCTACTAACTGCCGAGTCAGTGGTTTGAATCCACCAGCTGTGCTGCAGGAGAAAGATTACAGCTTTGTACAGGCCAGTTCTGCTTGGTTCTATAGGTTCGCTGTGAGTTGGTATTGATTCAATGGCAATGAACACTTTTTATTTCTAAGATTTATTTTTCAATTGCTAAAGCAAAATGATCATTGGTCCAAAACCAATGCAGGCTCTTTTCCACAACTGCCGGAAACAGATTTTGTGGGGCCATAAAGATTCCTGGTTTGCAGGATGCAAGAAAAGGGTCAAGTACAAACCTAGAAGTAGCAACTTCACTCAGTCGATGAGCTCTGGTTTGTATTCTGGACTTTGCTGGGAGTAGACAGCCACACCCTAGACTGCCCACAGGCTGCAACAAAGGTTACTGGATGTCACAGAACCACTGACCAAGGTCTCTAACCACCGAAGAGGCTTCAGGCCTACAGATTACCTAAAAGTATCACCTGTGGGTCCAGACTGCTCCATAAAATCTCCCTACAGGAAAGTGGTCAGAACAGGCCAAGAAGTAGTTTTGACCTATAGGAGGAGTCGCCAAACTTTTTCTATAAAGGACTAGATTTGTTATTGTTGTTTTTATGTGCCGTTCAGTCATTTCTAGAGAGTAGCTGGTGAGTTTGAACTGCCAACCTTGTGTTTAGCCATTCAGTGCTTATCTTAAAGCACCACACAAGGACAAAAAATATTATTTTTTGTGTTTGTGTGCCACACTGTCTCTGTTGGAGCTAGTCAACCTTGCTGTTGTTGCATTAAAGCAGCCATAAGAACGATGTAAACTAAATGAGCATGGCTATGTGCCAATGAAAACTGAAAGATTATTCACATAATTTTCAGGTATCAATAAATATTTTCACTCAGTTTTAGGGTCAGTGTTGTACAAATATAAAATGCATTCTTAGCTCACAGTTGGACTTGACTTGCAGGTCACAGTTTGCTGACCTCTGAAACCAGTCAAATCCCAAAAATTCCACTGCCATTGAGTCAATTCCAACTCATAGCAGCCCTGAGTTTCCAGGACACAGAATCTTCATGGAAGCAGACAGCCTCCCACAGAGCAGCTGAGGGGTCTTAACTGACAACTTTTGAGGTTAGCTGAGCTCTGAGGGTATTCACTAGGAACTTAATATGGAAATACATTGAGCTGGGGGTGCTGAGATTCGGCAGAACTCACAGGTACGAGGCAATGGCTGTGAGACAGCCTCTGGACTCCAGCTTCCCTTGCAGAAGCAGGGCAAGAGGATACTGAAATTATGTACTGTATTATTTCAAGGACTTCCTGCTTAGAAAACAAAGTTCTTAAAAAAAAAATGTCAGTTAGAAGGAAACTGCTAAGACATGGTCACCAGAACCCCTGCATAGAGCATATTATTTATTCTTTCCACCTGACTGTTCACACAGTAGGCAGGAGACAGAGAAGGGTGGGGCTGGGGTGTATGTGTTAAGGAAACCATCCTTTGTGAAGGACCCAAAGACCCTAATAGACAAAGCATATTTCTTTCAACTCACCTTCCAACCTCGGATATAAGACTGAATTACCAAGGTAGAACTCTTTATCTGTTGGTACCTCTTTTGTTGCTGTAGGATGAAAGGGGAAGATATTAACAGTTCTGTTTAAGTATCATAATGCGTACACGGGACACGCCTACATACACGGCAATGGGTGAGAAAGAAAAAGTCTTTGTTCACTTAGCACAAATTCCTTCCAGAAACTAATATATCTAGAAACAAACCTATCAAGTAGTTCAAAATTATTATAGTTGCTCCAAAGCATGCTTTGAGGATGCCAACTCTCGTTAAATTCTCTCTAAATGCCTCAGGAGCCACAACTATTTACACCTGCTCTTCGTATTCTTCTGGTTAAGGCAGGGCCAGACACACAGTTATGCTCAATACGTGTACACGAAATTAAACATCGAAGTGTCCTATTGGTGTCATTTCTCACCTTGATACTTGATGAAATGGTCCTTCCCAAATGGTCTTCTGTCTCAAACTATATCCCACTCCCCGCCCCTTGTCTCAGTATTCTTTTCTCACGTCTTTGTCTCCTTCCGAGCACCAATTACATTCTGTAATTGTGCTGATTATTGATCTACTTGAATGCACATTGTTCCTCATCTGAGCTAAACTCTATGAAGTCAATTATGAAAATTGTTTTGTTATCTCTAGAGCCTGGCAAGTAGGTATTTCAGAAATATTTGCAGACTTCAACATAGATGAATTCAGTACACTTCCAAACTCAGATTTTCTTAATGACCTTTCTAGATGTCGAGAGAGCGCTCCTTGCAGGCTATTGTGAAGAAAGTATAAGAGTCAAGTAACACCGCTATGCCTACAAAGGGAAATCCACTACCCAGTGAGGTGACAACAGAGAAAGCAGAACACATTAGGAATGAATTCACCATCTACTGATGGCTATAATCTTCTAACGAGAATAAGCGATTTTAAAAACAATCTTCCAAAGATCAAGACCTTTTCTTTAGCATATTCATTAATTATTTCCCAAACCTAGAAATAATACAGTAAGATGTACTACAGAGTACAGGTTAGCATAAATTATGTCCTGCACTAAGATATGTGCTGTAAGAACACAACTCAAGTTCAGACTAGCAAAGCTTCAGGGTTCTCTCAAACCTGTATGCTCCAGCACAACTTCTACAATCAGTGAGGAAGGACATTCCAGAGAGAAATTACAATCAATTAGGCAAACATGCATACTACTGCTGAATCCTTTCCCATATTTAATGAGGTGAGACATTTGGGGACTAACAAAACTCTAATCCTTTAACCCAAACCAAAATTCTATTAAAATGTGGCATCAGTTTTCTGGAATAAAAGTCAAACTTGACCCTATCATAGTCAAAGGGCTAAATAACATTACATTTTCCAATCTCATGGTCAAATTACAAATGTGAATTTCCCATTACTATGGCAAGTGGAATGAAAGAAAGTATGATAATTAAACACAAGCTTTGAAGTTGTTCTGGATCAAAATCCCAGCCCAGCCACGGAGTGTTGTGTGTGACTGCTCTGTTTCTTAGCTTTTACGAGGTTGTTGGGAGGACTAAGAAGTGTGTAAAATTACATATGCATAATATGTCCATAATAAAGGTTAGTATTATTACCACAGATTACAAATGAAGCAAACTCTTACCGCATATCTCCGGTACCACGCAGCAATCACAATTTGACTTTTCTTCATTAGCAGAAAGTAAGTACGACACTTCCACCCTCGATAAATTTTCTGAATGAGGGTAGCCAAGTCCTCTAGCCGTTCCTTCCTCAGGTCTTCTAATTTGAATAACTAATAAGACATGATAGTAGGACTCATCAAAAAACGTATCCAAAACTCATGGCATATATGAAAGAAATTCTCACGAATTAAAAAGTCTAAGAGTATGGCTGCAGCAGATGGATTCTAGTAGAATCCGAGAAGAATGTTCAATAGAACTTCAAATTCCTAAAACAAACAAAAACAGACCTACTACACTGACTGAGAATGGAGGACTCCCGAGACTATGGCCCTCAACCAGTTTTCAAATCTTGAATCAAAATCAACTCATTTCATCTTACAACTAAATCTCAAAAAAAAAAAAAAAAATCAGTATCCCCTATGAGTACTGAGCTCCTTTTAAAAAGTATCTCTATGAGACCAAATAGTCAACAATCACTTTTAAACAAAGATGGGAGAGTAAGGGAGCAAGAAAATTTGATTATCATATCTTTACCTGAATAACATGTTATTATATATGTATTTTCCAAACTGAACACATGCATTAGTTTTCTGTGCTCACTATGTGTTATTTGCATGTCTGGATGATTTACATAGGTGCATGTATGTAGAAGTATGGTAATGGAACAACTGGACCAAAATAATGAGAATGTTCATACATTGGAAAGAATGTAACCAATTTGACTGAACAAACTGTGTATAAACTATTAAAATGGAAAGCTAAATTACTGTGTTCACTGGAAACACAATGTTATTTTGATGTTGTGTGATTCAAAGAGCAGAGAATTCTTTGAAGAATGGTTACAGAGATGGAAACAGCACCTTCAAAAGTCTATAGACCTAGATGGAGGATATGTCAAGAAATAACAGCTTCACCTTTTGTTATTATAGTTTAATAAAGGTTGCTATGATTTTATAGCAATACTTTTTGACTAGCCTTGTCAATTTATAAATAAATTGGCTCCCTTCTAGAGTTCTTACGAGTTAGTTTAATTTAGTTCTTTTTAACTAAAAAAAAAATTTTAGTACCTTTAAGCACTTCTACACAATAGATCTACATTTCCTAAGATTATTGTATATTTCAGATATTACAAACAGAATTTACGTCCAGTTACTAAACATAAGAGAGGTTTTGTTTATAATCTACTTCTTTGTAATGTCTAAAATCGATATTATAGAATTTATCAGATCAAAGACTCTGATGTTTCTTAAAAAATAAACAAAGGGGCTTCAAAATGTTAATGGAAAATGGATTTTTTCCATGAACTTTTAAAGCCCCCTCACACATGTTTTCTCACTACTCCTTATAAACAAACATTAGAATGTTGAACTTTTGGTAGTGTCTCAGGTAATGTGATCTTAATCTTTAAGAACTTGACTATGTAATTATGAATTAAGTTCAGAATGTAAAGGTTTGACTACAGCAGAATGTGCCCTTTGGAGATGTAATTTATTATATATGCCTGAGTGGGTTTTTTTGTTTGTGTGTTTTTTAAAAAAAGCTAAAGTGGATAAAGAGAAATACTTTTAACTGATGGTATATGGAGGGGATTATAATCAATGTAATGAAAATATGAATTGTTGAATGTGAAACTGATGATGTGCCCTGTAAACTTTCACTCAATCCACAATAAAAACCTTAAATTAAAAAAAAAAAGGTTTGACTACATACAGTTCTTGGGTTTCGGATGAATATCTTTGATCTACCAAAGGAGTATTCTTCCATAGGAATCTCTAATTCATTAAACAGAACTTCCACACCAGATCTATAAAAAATAAACAGATAAAACAATGAGTTTTTGAGGTTCAAAAACCATTTACCTTTTTAAAATAATCATATCAGGTTCTCAGTGGTATAAAAATACAGCTTCATTTCTATGTGTAATGCTTTTTTAGTGAATATCCTTCTGATGAGAGAATTTTCCAGGCTGGATTCCACAAATGAAACCAAAATCAGCAAACACTAAAAAAGTAAATTTGGTTTCAGAACTATGTATTCTAAGAAAATGTGGCAATAAAGCCAATCTCCTGATTTCACTGGGTGTGCAGGCAACTCAGGTCTACTTGGTTATTTTTTGAAAATACTTTAAATATTGCTCATAGGAGAATGCTACAGGCCCATAGGAGAGTGCTAAGAGCCAGACCAGGAGGTTGCTAAGGAATGCAGGCCTTATGTGGTGGGAGCAAGGCTTGGTTGCATTCCAGGTTCAATGTCAAGTCGATAAAACGATAACTCGTCCTACTACCCTGCAGACTAGGTGCTGAGCAGAGCGAAAATACATGTTCTGAGTATTATGTTCCATGGTTACCACAATACTCAAGAACTAAGCAATGGAGTCTGAAAGAAACAGTACCCGAAGCCCACACATTTGAGCATTCAATTATGCATCAGAGACCACACCGTGTACTGGAGCTCCTCTTATGTGCTGACGAGAGTCTAATGCTGCTAAGGAATACGCCTGGGAAAGGCCAGATTCAGAGAACCTGAAGACAACACAAATGTAGAGGAAGGAAGATCTAAAAGTTCCAGTCTAAGCCCATGAAACAAGCACAATAGTCCTCTCCTGCCAGTACTAGGGAGACAGCATCTAACCCCCCACAGAGGAGGGTTTCTCTGAACAATGAAGGCAGCAGAAGGGTCAGTACACCAGGAAGACCAGATTTCCCTTCTGTTGTGACCCGCCCACCAGCACACACATTCTCTCTGCAGGTGGAGAACTCAGGGGTCACTCCACAGCAAGCGTCTTCGGGAGTCCAGCATTCTGTCTGTGACTAGATGGGTGCATCCAGTCACATAGACCAGTATGTGCCATTCAGGGAGGATGGGCTGAAAGCTGCTTGGCCTTGGGTAAAAGCCATTCTCCAATCCAGCTGTAGCAGCAATAACACACTGAAATGTGTCTGCTCCTGTGTCTATTTCTTAGTTCGTTCAGACCTAGGCAAAGTGGAGGACTTCACCCATTGACTCTCTCCATATAAAATTACCCATGTGAAAAATGAAAAGCTAGAAGTAATCCAAGATGCCTCTAATACCAACCCGTCCATAATTCTACCCAAATATAAACACTGATTATTGATCACCTCCAAATCATTTGCCACAAGGTCTGTAGTTCAAACTCACCAGCTGCTCCTTGGAAATCTCATACAGGGCTGCTATGAATCAGAACTGACTCAACATCACTGAACAATAGCAACAATCACTTGCCAAGGAGCCCTGATAGCATAGGGGATTATGAGCTGCTAACCTCAAGGTCAGTAGTTTGAATCTACAAAGCATTCCATTGTAGAAAGATGAGGCTTTCTGCTCCTGTAAAGATTTACAGCCTTGGGAACCCTATACAGGGTTGCTATGAGTCGGAACTGACACAGTGGCACACCACCACCACCACCACCATGTGAGACATTAAATCCTGGTGGGACACTGTAAGATAAAACTGAAATGCTAAAAGCAAGGTCAGCCATAAGGAGTGCTGGTAGCACAACAGGTAAGCACTCAGCTGTTAACCAAAAGTTTGACAGTTCAAACCCACCTAGCTGCGCTGGTTAAGAAGGATCTGGTGATTGGCTCCCACAAAGATTACAGCATAGAAAACCTAATGGTACAGCTTTACTTTGTTACAGGGGCTCGTTCTGAATTGAAATTGACTTGTTGTCACCTAATAATCCATTTGCTACAGGCATATTTAAAAATATCTGCTGCCATACAGGAGTCTTCGTGTAGTGCTATAAGACAAGCACTGGACTGCTAATCATGTCAGTTGTTCAAACATGTAGTCGAATCACCACAACATGGATGAACCTGGAGGACATTATGCTGAGTGCAATTATTCAATCACAGAAGGAAAAATGTTGTACGATGCTATAAACAGTTTAGAAAAAATTTTCTTGATAAAAAAGACTATGGTTACAAGGGGCAGGTTGTTGTTATTAATTGCTGTCGAGTCAGTTCCGACTCATAGCAACCATATATACAGTTTCCAAGGAGCAGCTAGTGAGTTTGTTGAACCACCAACCTTGGGGTCCAGTGTATTATCCTGCAGTGCCACACTAGGACTCCATGGGGGAGGGGGAACTATTCATGGGTTAGAGGGTAGACATGTGTTAACATGGTGACAAGGCAAGTAATACACAACCAGAGGCAGGTTAGCAGAGGAAATATGAAGGTAGTGGGAGATACCAGGAGGAATGCAACAGTTTAAGTGAATAGAGGTAAATACTGTTAACTGTTGGTACATGGAGCAATGAAGAAAAATACATGATTTGTTGAATGTAAAACTGATGATCTGCTATGTAAACCTACACCCAAGTCACAATAAAAAGTTTTTAAAAATTTATTATTAAATCTGGACAATAAGTTTCTTACCTTGCAGGACCTTTCCAATGAGGCCATGTTTGCTTACAAAGCATTTTGTATCTTTCTAGACATGGTTCATAGGCCTGCCTGAAGGCGTAGCCTGCCCTCCTCACTCGAACATTCTCCAAAAGACCCAGGTACCTGATCTGATGACAAACTAGAGCCTCGTTGAAGATGTGTGCTGCTTTTTTATCATTTGGTTTGATACATCTAAAAACACAGAAAGATTTTAGGTTTTAAATTCTGCCTCTTAGGGATCTATTTGTCTGTATTCTATAAAGCATCTAAATGTAATTACTTCAGAAGGAAATAATCATTATTTTTCTTTGCAAACCAACTCATTCATTTTGATATTATTTCTAATGAAAACAACCTCAAAATAAATACATTGCTATACAGCAATGAAAGACAATTTCAAGACATGCCACAACATGGATGAATATCACAAATATTTTGTTGAGTGAAAGAAGCGAGATGTAAAATATGTCTGTATGATTTTATTTGCATGACATTCAAGAAAAATCAGACAGTGGTTAGGAGCTGGGACCTGCAGAGAAGTGATGGTGGGAACCCACAGGAAGGGAAAAGAGAACCTATTGGGATGATGGAAATGCTTTGTGTTTTGATTTGGACGAGGTTATACAGGTGTACGAGGGGGCTTCAAAAAGTTCATGGAAAAATGCAGTTGAAAGATAATGGAATTTTTCCACAAACTTTGTGAAGTCCCTTCGTATTTATAAAATTTCAACAAGTTGTATTCTTAAGGATTGTGTGTTTTACTCTTATGTCTGTTACATGCAATGAAAAGGTGAGATGAACTGTATCCCAATATCTGTTCTTTGTTAACAACACATTTTGTTGCCCAGGGAAGGATTACATGTCCCAGCCTCCCACTGCAAGTAGATGTGGCCGGGTGACTACATTCTGGCCCATGGAAGCATTGTGTGACACCTCTTGACTGTGTCTAAAAAGAAAGGACCGTTCCTCATTTTCCTCCCACTTCTACCTGGCTAGGAATGCTGACGCAGCCGAGAACCATCTCTGACCGTGCACAGTGAAAATGAGAACCAACAAGTAGCCCTGGAGTTCTACACTTCGAAGTTTTCTAGTTATTCATAACAACAAGACATCTTATAACCGCAATCAATCAGAAAAATTTAGCATATTTGTATTTCTTTCTAATATAAACAGACTAAACACATGAATGTTTTTTCACTCTAGTTTCCTTACACCCACATTTTGAAAGACAGGTATAGAGGATGTGTGCACGCGCAGGTGTGCAAATGCTGTGTTATATGAAAACTGACCCATCAGACACATACTTTCTCTTATCTTGCTGTCAATTCCTACTCACAGCAATGCTATAGGACAGAGTACAACTATCCCATAGGTTTCCAAGACACTTACCAACAACAGCAATCTTTACAAGAGAATACTGTTACATCTTTCTCCCAAAGATAAGATGGTTTGAACCACAGAATTTTCTGTAAGCAGTCATAGCTGCCTGTCTGAGGACTAAGGCACACCTTATCCAAGCCAGGGTATTTCCAACAACCTCATATGCATGTAAAAGTTGGACAGTGAATAAGGAAGACCACAGAAGAATCGATGCATTTGAGTTATGGTGTTGGAGGAGAATATTAAAAAGAACCTTGGACTGCCACAAGAACAAAGCAATCAATGTTGGAAGAAGTATAGCCAGAATGCTCCTCAGAAGCCAGAATGGCCAGACTTCTTCTCTCATACATTGGACATTTTGTCTGGAGGGACCAGTCCCTGGAGAATGATATCATGTTTGGTAGAGTAGAGGGTTGGAGAAAAAGAGGAAGACCCCAAGGAGATGGATTGGCACAGTGGTGGCAACACTGGGCTCAGGCTTAGCAAGGATTGTGAGGCTGGTGGGAGACTGGGTAGAGTGTTTCGATCTGTGCTGTACAGGGTCACCATGAGACAGTGCCGACGCTATGGCACGTAACAACTACAACAAGAAATCACCAGTTTTCTCAGGGTATACTGCTCACAGAAAGAAAGAGGTACATTATTTCCCAACTGCCAAATAGTAACTAACACTCCTCTTATTTAATGCTGCATTCTAAGTTTACACAAGAACCCAAAAAGAGTTTTCTATAAACCCTAATTAGGAAAATTTTACATTTTGTTTCTTGTCAGTAAATAAATGTATAAATAAGTATATAGAAAGTTGCGATCTCTTTATTTGCCAACCATCTAGCTTCATTAATTTCTCCTCTTTTTTTATTCTTTATTTTAGTAGTTGGGGGCACTGACAGGTCATTTTAAATAAACAGCCAAATAACCAATCATTTGACCTTATTCTTGACTTGGCCTATGCCACTCAGATTTAAGCACACAGGAAAATGACCTTTTAGAATATCTTCACATTTGAACTGTTAAAAAAACAAATTTAAGAGTGAGAAATACCTAATGTAATTTGGGTTTTTGGTCTGTAGGTTTTTCATCAATGTGGCCACAGAAGCCTTGAACTGTGATCCTGCAGTAGGAGGCCTTTTTAGGTTGATCTTGGCAGGGTTCCCTTCGGGGAACAAAGATTTGATGAGGGCATGGCCAGCCTTCCACATGGCTTGGGACAAGTCTCGATAGAGAAGGTCATTGTTTTTGTCAACAAATCCTTCCACCTGGTACAGCACCTAGGAGTGGCACACAGAAGTCAGCAGCTAGGCAAATGGCACATTTTATCATTAAACAACTGTTAAGAAATATTCAGAGACTCTTCTTTCTCCATCAGAAAACTCCCAACATGTTAGTCATACTCTAATACTGAATTAGATTCTAAGTTTAAATTCCATCTGTCTAAATTATGGAAGAGTTCAAAATAAACTATTACCTTAAAGATCTGCAAATCTAAGTTCTAAAAATGTTATCATAACATTTTCAAAGGGTTTTAGATTTTTTTTTGGTGGCGCAGCATATTTTTGAGGTTTTACTTTATTTTCTAGCTCACATGTGCCAATTCTAGTCTGTTATTAAAGCAGACAAGAGAAAATAAAGTAGAAATAACACTGCTATTTTCATAGACATCCTAAACCATCAGAGAAAATGATCAGAAAAGGATCTTTTTAATGGTATGGTCAGATAACATATAATTGCTTTTTACTAAAAACATAATATTCTTTCCCCTTTAAAGTTTGTAACCATATTTATAAGGGAGGTATTAATTATTACCAATAAAATCTATAGGATAAAACTTAATGCTATTAAAATTATTTTTAACACTACCATTATATAGTAAATGATTTAAAATTAATGTCTCCAAATTCCAAGCAAATGAGTGATTTTATTTTAAAGGTAGAAATTCCCTCCAGTGTCATTTCAAATTCTCAATCTAAGAGTCATTATTTATATTAGGTAACTTGTACTTTCAAAACCTTACTACTCTTCAGTATGTCTTAATTTTTGCTGACAAATCTCTTTTATTGATAGCTCTTTTTTCATGGGTAGTACTTAACAATAACAAAAATCAATTTTAAAATATATTCAGAGTCTTAGTTCACTGGCTTTGCGTTTGAAAGTTATTATACGGTTTTACTCAACATGGCCCAGACTCTATCTCTATGGGACATTTAATGATTTGGCAGCTTGATTTGTCCTCAAAACTTAGCAATTTTTAAGAATGCCTCTCTCTATGAGGAGCCCTGGTGGCACTGAACTATAGGATAAGTACCAGACTACTAACCACAAGGTCAGCAGTTCAAAGCCTGCAATCATTTCAAGATTGACAGATGAAGCTTTCTGCTCCAGTAAAGATTTACAACTTTGGGAACTCTACACAAGGTCGTTATCAGTTGCAAACAACTCAATGGCAGCAGTTTTTTTGTTTTCTTTTTTCCATCTATGAGACACAGGGAGCCCCTGAGACATTTACTTGTCTACTAAATGAAAAGTTGGGTGTTCAAATACACCAAGGGGTGTCTTGGAAATAAGGTCTAATGATGTACTTCTGAAAAGTCCCCAGTTATTCAAACCCTGTGGATTGCAGTTCTACTCTGCACCCACAGCGTCACTTTGGGGACAATGCAGGCCTGACTCAGTGCTCTGGGCACTCCATACCTTGCCAGCATAATGCTGAATTCTGAAACAGCTGTGAGGCAGAGACGTGTCGTTGAGGAACCGAGAGCACTTGCTCATCCTGCTCTCAAAGTGCTGGTGGGTGGCGCACACCTGGTTCAGTTTCTCTAAGAAGGTCTCGTCGGTGACCGTGCCAGGCCTCAGACACTCTTCATCCAGCATGGCCAGGATTCCATTTGTGTTCTGGGGAAAGGAAATAAAGTTTCCTTCCTTCCTCGCTGTATTGTTTTAATAATTATTCCTAATGACACCATCAAACACAATCAACTTGGCCACATGAAAATTCCGCTCAGTTAAAACAAACGGTAGAGGAGCAAAACAAGTAACGAAAGCTACAACAGGCAGCTCTTGTCCGGTGTGTTCCAGGTGTGCGTGTGTGTGCGTGTGTGTGTGTGTGTGTGTGTGTGTGTGTGTGTGTGGTGTCTACCTTACCCCCACCCCCCAGAGCAGTCACCCAGCCACCTTAGGGGTGACGCCTGCAATTCCTGTCATTCAAACAGAGGCATGTGACTGCAACAAATCCAGAACTCAGAAATGAATGTGTCAGGACAGTCTCCATAACATGAGGTCATAAATCACAAAGCAGTCATCTAAGGCCAATGTTTGAGTCTTAGCTTGGGAGGGAAATTGGTTTCAGATGTTTCCAAATCATTCAAAATAACGTTTATTTTCTAGCGAAAGAAAGAACGTCAAATAAATGCCGTGATTTAGAATGTTGCTTTTAATGATTAATGTAATCAAGTTGGTTTCAAGAACATGTTTAGAATAAAATACCGGTTCCATATAAAATTACTGAGTGGATGCAGGCATGATTGAAAACTTATTTGTTGTATATTCAGAGCCTGAGATCATACTTATCCTAAGAAATCAGGATTCTTCCACTTTGCTAAGGGAAGACTATAATGCCTCCAAAGAGACTAGCCCATTACCACTAGCGGTCAGTCCCACCCACTTCCACTGAAGCCAAGTCCCCTATTCCTTTCCTCTCTCCATACAGGGCCACAACCTTCTCTAACCAGCATCTCTTCAATCCTGAGAGAACCCAGGGGAATTGTGAACTCTCAGGAATCAAGTGTGTTCAAAACAGGACCAGAATAAACATTATTGTTAAGTGCTGCTGGAAGGAAACATTTCCTTTATTTATGTACTTAGGCCCCTGTGTGAACATGAGTTTTTTCAATCATATATGCAAGGGGATTTTTGGCTGAGATAACCAAGTATATGTCACTTTTCCTTTAAAAAAAAAATCTTGAAAGGAAATATTTAGTACAATGTTATATATATGATGGAAAATGTACTAGTCAGGAATTCTGAAAGTTACATTTCTCACAGCAAATTACCTTGGTCACAGAATTTGCCAAGAAAATTTACAGTGGATTTCCAGAGTTTAGAAAAAATGAATTGCTTAGGTAGTACATATCAGTGTTTAAGGAGCTCTGGTACGTAGTGATTATGAATCGGGCTGCGAACCGCAAGGTCAGCGGTTCGAAACTACCAGCTGTTCTGCCCTATGCAGGGTCGCTATGAGTCGGAACCAACTCCACAGCACATAACAACAACAGCAACATATCAGTGTTTACCTTCTAAGATTGTTTAGATTTTTCAAAACAACGTTTTGTTTTTTTATTATTTAAAACCAGTGATGCTTTAGAATATTGTTAATCTTCAATTTAATCAAAGATTCCACTCTCAGGAGTATTTGAGTACTAAGAAGAAATATTAGCCAAACTACAGAATTTCCAAAAGGGCTTGCTAAAGATAAATAGGAAGTAGTTTGTTGTCCTTTTAGAGCCTGTGACTTTATTCCAGATGCACAGCCTCACTTCTCTGAGCAGTCAGTGAAGAGTTAAGAGAACTGTGAGACAATAAAGCTTATGCATAGCTTGAAGGCACGCTGTCACCAAGGCTAGGACAGCAAACAATCTTAACCGTAAGACAAAAGAGCTTCTTGGTTTTCATACACAAATTCATCTCCCTACAATTAATTTATAATACGTAGAGAATACAGTGAAAAGATGTAGAAGGCATGCCATAGCCCATAATCTGTCATACTTTAAGCATTTTTGCACACTCAGATCACCTGAAAAATCTCCATGGTCTTGACCACAACAGGGTCACATATGCAATATTTTCTGCATACATCCATGAGCCAAAGTTAGGTCTACACCTGAGCCATTTCTAGAGTCCCACTAAATTCATCTCCAGCCAGTCAGTCCCTTTTTCTACTTGATCTTAGTGTGAACAGTACTTTAAGAGGTCACCGGTGTTTTAGGAATAAAATGGATAGTTTGATTTGGCAAAACACAGGGATGGTTGCTCTCAACCTACTCTGTTCAGCGTTCACATCACCAGAAATGAGGGATTGGATCTGGGCTTCAACCACAAGAGAGGCTATTGCATTCAAGGCCCTGGCTTCATGAGAGGAGCACAGGGATCCTGAGAAAATATCAAAATGTTCAGGTGTTTATGTATGTTTTGGAAAATGGCGTATGATTGCTTATGGCCACGATTAAGTCTCCAAAACTCTAATTCCAGAAAAGTGTTTAACTAATTGTTGAAAATTCCTAAGTGATTATTTATAGTACCAGAAATTTTTAAAGAAAGCTATACTCACATTTTCTATTAGGTCACAAATGATTGCATTATTGAAGTACTCAATGTGAGTCCATTCTATGTCCTAAAACAAAACAAAACGAACGTCAAATTCCTTCTCACAATGTGACCACACTACCCTCCATAAAATACTCTGACTGTCTGGCCATATTTTACTTCCTCTTTGAATATTTCTTTTATAGGGTCAGTGCTGCAAATGTCTTCTTCCAATTCCTCAAACTTTCTTAACATAGTCCACCAGTGACTCGATCTGACTAAGCTCAGTGACCTTGAACTGTCCGGAGACTGCCTCCCATTCCACTCTCCCATCTGTGGCCATTTCCCATGTACTTCACTGGCACTGGGCCAAGTATCTACTCAACAGGCCTTTAGGTCAATAGTTCTTTGTATATACGCACAGTGTTTATAAGGAAATAAGTCAAGAATCTAAGGCTAGATTTTTCTGTTCTTAACTTTTAATCACATGGAAATTTTTACTTTTAGACACCAATCCTATGATTAAAGGCAGTTGAGATTGGTCTGATATTCTTACATTTACACTTGTAGGGCAGTTCACTATTTCAAACATAAAACAAGTCCAGTAATAAGACAAAGTATTTTCCACATAAAGAAAAACATGAATACGAATTGACTGGTTCTAACACTAGAGATGAAGCCAAGTCTGTAAGGCCAATGTAATCATTCTGTGCCCGCTTACACTTTATCCCTAAGTGTAAACATTTATTTTTCTTCTGAGGGAAAGAAATTTAATTCATACAGCAAGCTAGGAATCTTCCTATATACTCTTACAAGTGTTTTAGACAATTTGTACAAACTGTTTTAAGTTACAGATCAAAGTTCGAGCATTTCCCTTATGATGAGAAGACAGGAAGAGAATGAATCGTGCTTTTAGGATGTTTATGTTACCAAAAGGTGCCAGACAATTTCTAAAGCATAATGATCATTCTAACAGAGAAATGAAATATTTATGATTTAGAGTAAAAACAATTATGATTTATAGTAAAAACACAGGGAAAAACAACCACTATTTAAAAATCTATATTGAGAAACAGAAAAAAAAAGTTAGGTGTCCTTAATGAATTCAAATGACACTATAGAAAATTAAGAAAAGTAAGAAATATCATTACTGAAACATTAAAGCAAACAAATGAAAAGATAACAAAAATAATACACTCCACAAAATAATGCCTCCCTTTTATTCGTTTGAAATAAATTATTTTATTGCTTGAAAAAAAGGGCTATTTAAAAGATGAAATGCTCCTGGTTGTGGTGCTGTAGAAAGCACTGGACTGTTAATCAGAAAGTCAGCAGTTCAAACCCACTAGTTACTCCTCAGCATCTTATACAGGGTCTCTATGAGTCGCAACCAACTTCATGGCACTTAACAACAACATTTAAAAGATGAAAGGGTAAAAAGTCAAGAAAGTGTTTTAAAATGAAAGGGTAAAAAGACTTTATAAACATTATTTCTAGCTATTTTGAAATTGCATTAAGTGGGAGACTCTACATATAGCACTTAATACAATGTTTGGCATACAGTAAGTACTCAACAAATGTTAGCCATTTCTATTAGTAATGTTTTAGAAAGGTAATGCTTTCCAAGATGGAGCAAACCTTCAAATTATATTCTAATTACATATATTAATATTGACTTGGAAGGAGATACAGCACTCTGGGGAGTATTGTGGCTTTGCAGAATAAGCACTGGACTGTGAACCACCAGGTCAGCAGTTGGAGTCCACCAGCCATTCTGCTGGAGAAAGATGAAGCTTTCTGCTCTCATGAAGATTTCAAGTCTCAGAAACCCGATAGAGTGTGGTGATGAGTTGAAACTGACTCTATGGTAAACAAAAAGTTTTTTGAAAACATTACCTCCCGTATATACTCCTCCTGCTCTTCTTTAAGAGTTAGTTCAATGAAGATTTGCTGCAGCTTTTCATTACAGTAATTAATAATGAACTGCTCAAAGCTATTGTCCTGTGTGGAGAGAAATGAGAAGAGCTTTAGAAATCACGGTATTAGCTGGCTCACAACACTGTTACCAGCAACAGCACACATCGTAGTTCAGATTTCACAACGGCGCAGCACACAGTTCCTACGACAGAGGCTTGCACATTGCAGGCACTTGAGAAACGACCCACGAATAAATGAATGAATGAAGTATACACAGAATATGCAGTATCTGAAGAATGACGATTTCTAGTTGACAGAGATGGTTTTAGAACAACAGTACATTTCCCCCAAGAGGATCAGAAAATAAATAGTGAAATTCATAAACCTTTACCCAAGTTCTTCTTTTTCTGGTCTCAAGTGAAACTTCAGAGCTCAAAAGAACTCCCTGACCTGTCCTCTCATCCATCCCTATTCCAGTTCAGGTCTTCATTATGATTCCTATGGACCAGTTGTTGCTGTTCAGTTGTCACTGAGTCATTTCTGACTCATGGTGACCCCATGCCCTTCTCAAAAATCCATGTTGTATGAGAGGGCTTCAGAAAGTTTGTGAAAAGTAGAATGAAAAGATAACAGAATTATTTATAAACGTGTATATGTATATTGACGAGTGCCATTTTCGTTTGTCTCACTAGACTGTACACTCCTTACAGTGACTGAAAATGTCTCTACTCATTACTGTGTTTCCATGCTTTGCACCCCATCTAGCAAGTACTCAATATGTATTTGATGAATGAGTGAATGACGTGCCTACAAAATGGAGCACTAAAAAGGTTAGCATATCAAAAGCATCTCCCTACCTAGAAATAATCTCTCTACTCAGTACACTACTACTTGACCACTCTTATAAAACTCAGCAGTGTTCACCTCTATTGGGCTATCTCCTGGGCACGCTCTGAAGGAAGAGTCTTGCCTAAATCATTTCTGAATAAATCACAGAGCTTAATGGATTGTATATTACAAGGGCACAAAGTTCGTATCTGTTGGATGAATATGCTTCACCAAAAAACATATTTTCCAGGTAGAGGCAAATATAGCTAGTTTTACCACTCTTTCCCTTCTTTTCAGTGGGAGTAGGGGGGAACTTTTCTCTCAGTTAAGGTGGCCAGTCCAGGCCTAATGAGCTGGAAGTGATAACAAATAGTGCTGAGGTTAAAGTCTCTGCACCCTGTGAACACACACAAGAGCAACTAGCTTTCAACTCCCTCTGTAACTGATGTTGTTGGGTGACATCACGGGGACTTTCAGCTCAGAGTGACTCCACGTGACACCTCACTGGGTTTTCTTGATTATAGTCTATAAGGGAGCAGATCACTAGTTTTTTCCCTCATGGAGTGGCCGGGGGATTTGAAGACCAAGCCTTTTGGTTAGTAGTCGAGTATTAAACTGTTGTACCACCATGGTTCCTTCTCTCCATAAAATGGTGAAAAGAGAAAAGTCATAGAGAATTTTAAAAACAGACAGAAAAATCAACTTTGGTCTTACCTAGGACAAATTTTTACAAGGTACTTATGATGCATCTGACCATATTCGTTCTTGGATGTCAACTAACAATTTTTCATGACTAGCAATACTATTTTTAACTCCAAATCATGAATGACACATATACACTATCACTAACTTACCTGATTAATCCTAAATTTAGTCAAGGATAAAAGTTGTTTTTTTTTTTAATTTCTGAATGTTTGTTCTTACTAGGGCAAGGATTTATTTTGAATTCTATCTACATATTTAAATAAATGACACTTCCCAGTACTCATTTCCATACAAGCTTTTGAAAACCGTATGTTCTAATTCTCAAGACCTAATAATTTTGATTAACAACTAAAGTTAGTCTGGTGTGAATATCTTATTAGCACTATCACCAGTATAAGGCCATTCATATAAAATAAAATTTGGTTTTCTTGGTTTGGGAAAATATGTTCTTACATACAGAAGACTTAAAAATATAATTAAAATGTTAGTAGTTTATAAGAGCAAATCTTTGGTGTTTTTTTTTTTTTTTTAATTCATAGAATACATTCTTTCTGTTATTAATCAAATTTGTACCCATGGAGCTATTTAAATGAAATTACATTAAATCTTCATGTGGTGACGAATGAGGAGAGGGGAGCAAATATTGTCTTTCAACACGATAGATGGTTATGAACAGCTTGAAGTCTACTTTTGAAACAGGACTATGGTATACACACAAGCAAATTAGAAACCAGAGACAAAGCTTGACAATTATTAATGCAATTGAATAATTAAGCCAGAGTTCAATTGGATTAGCTCTCGACTTTCAAAAATTCCTGTATGAATTCTCTATTTCATATCCACAATTAATCAACAGCCATTAATTGCAAAACTCACAGTGGAGAAGCTGTTAACACAGGAACATGCAAGAGACCGGCACTGCAAAAAGTTCATACTTACTGCATTCTGGTGCAAAAAGGGACAGATTACACAAAATGCAGTCAGTTCTTGATGAGCAACAAACTTCTATAAGTAAACACTTAATGTTATTCACTAACTGGTCTTTTGGCATTGAAGCTAATTTTTTATTGGCATGGAACTTTAGAACAAGAACACTTGTCTAATGAATTCAAAAGAAAGGACCACAATAATTACAAGTAATGCCTGAATTGTGGTCCTTCTAGTTTGAGCTAAATTCAGGATAAAAACCATTAGATGGAAACAATTGCAAGTAGTATACGTGCTAAAGCTTTAGAATCTAAAGTCCTAAAGCTTCAGAATTGAATTGTCCTATTTCTAAAGTCACAAGAAAAACTAAATATATAAAACACATACCTAAGACCCATATGCACCCCAGACACACACAAAAAAAGCCCCATCAATTGAAAGGTCACCAATAGAGTGAAGAGATTCACCAAGATCCAAATAAAGTTCCCCCTCCCTACCACCCCCAAAGGGTACTGAGCGGAGCCTCCTCTTCTGAAACAAAGTGGTAAGGAAAGAGAATTCTCCAGGAGATGGCCTAAGAACAAAAACATGCCTTATTTTGCGGATTGAAACAAACAAACAAATATAGACCAGCTCAATAATCAACGCGGAGATCAACTTATTTTCTAATAGAAATCTCAGTATCACCTGCAAACACACCTTTACAGTCTCTGAAACAGGTCATGCATCCTGAGGGCAGTGAGGAATGCCAAGACTGAAGATGAAACCATACTTCTCTTTGTGATCTGTGTTAACTGTTGATACTGTTCAATTTGTTTCGGAAATGGGGTTTCATAAATTAAAAAAAAGAAAAAATTGAAGGAAAAAAAAAACGAAGAAGCAAATACTTTGCAGAAAATGAAAATGAAGGAATAGCTTAGTGATAGCCACAATGTATTGAAGTCCAACACATACAGGTACATCCCCATTTATACACTGGTTTCCCACTGTGGGTCCCCTTTCTGCTACAAATTAGCTAAACGGAGCCTAGAAACAACCACAACAGTATGAAGGCTCCAAAGTAAATTCACACTGGATACCTCTTTGGTTTGCAACAACAGCTATATGTTTCTGAGGCACTTCTTCCATGTGTCAATTTCAGGAATCAAAGTCATGCATAACTCTTCTCACTTCAGTGTTTCCCCATGCTTCATGTACTGAAGTTTTCTTTCCTGTCTTACTCACATTTATCCCTAAAGACTGAATAATAAACCTAACACTTAGGGGAGCACTTTCAAACAAGTTCATCCTGGAGTTTCCATTATACAATCCCCTCAAAGGAAGCCCACACCAGTGCTCTCTCAGTCAGTACCCAAGCTGCTATAGAGAACACAGGTCAACAGCAAGATGCCTAGATTCAATACAGTTTATCACATATTTATGTAACAACTGTAACTGTGAGAGTGTGAGTGCTGATGAGATTTACAAGCATACAACATAACTAAATTTAAAACTCCAGAGTTTCCTTCAAAAACTCTATAGTTTCCTTCAGGAAACAGATAAAGCACATTCCTAATACAGCTCATTGCTAGTTTATATTCAGAAATATTAATCATAAACTTTCCACAGGGAATAATTTTGAAAGATGCCTCTAAAAGCAGGCCTATTACTAGAGTCTTAAATTCTCCTTAGCAACCAAGTGAATACTTGCTATCTCACCCCCCACACCTTAAGGCCTATAGATATTTTTTGATATCTTATAATCTTTAAAAAAAACAATAAATATTGAAAGATGGTAAAATACAGGTGGAATAGGAATGGGTTTTCAGGTGAATGTTACATGAAGGAAAGAGAAGGACAATTCAGACATGAAATCATCATTTATTCAAGCAAAAAGTACTGTTAATTACATACTTCATTTGAGGTCAAATTTTGGAAATAACAAGGTGGTCAAGGATCCATAATTTACATATGTTGTTGTTGTTGTTAAGTGCTGTTGAGTCGGCTCCGACTCATAACAACCTTGTATAGCGTTTCCATGGAATGGCTGATGAGTGAACCGCCAATCTTGTAGTTTAAGCCAACCTTGTAGTCCAGTACTTTATCCCATAGTGCCACATCACAACTTTACATATGAGGGGGCTTCAAAAATGTTTGTGAAAAAAATTATTCTGTTTCAACAATTCCATTTTTCAACTAACTTTTTGAAGTCTCCTGGTAAATGAATTATCTTCCAAAATAACTGAGTTAATATATTTATATAAAAGTTATAGGACTTTTAGTGTAACCTTACTACTTTAGAGAAATCCAGGCTATATTACTGATTACTAATTTGAAATGAACTGTCAGTCCCAGCAAAGGTTACTTAGAGTCATATCTTTGGGGTGGGGAGGGGGAAGACCCATTTTATAATTCTGTTTTTACAGAAAAATACAGTGTACTAGACTTTACCCATGAGTTAAAATCACAATGTAAAAAATTAGACCCCCAAATCAAAAAGTGCTTACTTTAGAAATTCACTTTTTAAAAGTTCTCACAAAATGAGAAAAACATTTTCCAATATATATTATCTTTTTTAGAGATTCCAAAATTAAAAGACTAGCTAACATTTTTGAAAACTTCTGTCTAATATGTAACATTATTTT